AATATTTTAAATAATATAAATTATGAAGTATGAAATAAAAATTATAGATTTTGATAAAAAAAAATATTACAATAAATAATATTAAATGAAAGATGAATATAAATATTTAATTCATCAGTTTATTAGACAATTAGTTATTAGTTAGTTATTACTATGATTAATAAATATTTTTTTAAATTTTATTTTAACAAATCATTTGTTAGTGTTTAAATCAGTCACTAATAATGACTGATAAATTAATTGTTAATTATCTTAAAAAATTGATTACTAAGTTAATCATTATGTTAATTAATGAAATTTTTGTATAATAAATTATAAATTAATAACTAATAATAACAAAAAAAATGGTCACTAATTTAAAAAAAATAGTCACTGAGTTTGTCATTATATTAATTTATGACTATTATTTTATTTTTTATTTTATTATTTAAAAAATTAATTTTTAAATAATTACTAATAGTGATCGAATATATTACTAATTCAGTTACTATATAAATTAATTAATATTTTTTAATTAATCATAAATTAGTCTTTAAATTGGTTATTAATAGTGACAAATAAATTAATCTATAATTTTTAAAGAAGATTAGTTCTATTTCAGTCGCTAACAAGTAAAATATAATTAATTAAATTAATAATATATTCAAATTTCTAAATTATTTAGTATAGTAACAAAAAATATTTCAAATCACTAAAAAAATATGATTTTCTTGCAATATTCCATGTTGTTCAAGTGTAAAGTATTATACCTTTTTATCATAAATATTTAGGTTAAATATATATAATTTGATACTTTAAAATAAATTGTATTATAATTTTATTTATGTTAAAAATTAGTTTTATTTATATTTTTAAATATAAATTTGTCTAAATCATGATGACACGTGTTGCTTTTTTGCAAAGCCACATAAATAAGAGACTAAAACTAATAAATTTTTAAAATATAAAGATTAAAAAGATATTTTAGAAAAACTACAATAAAAAAAATAGTATATTTTAAAAGAAGAAAATCATGTTTAAATTTTTTAGTTTATATAAAAAATTGTAAATGCACAGGAGCTTTTCATCTTTTAAAATTTAGGGGCACAATGACATTGACAAACTACAGGTGGTATATTAAACTTTTTCTCTTTCTTTAATAGTTTGCCCTACCTGTGTAATGTTTATTTTCTTTATTATTATAAGAAATTGGGAACCTTTTTTTTTAAACTAATGAAAATAAACTAACAAGTTCCAAATAATAATTTTATGTAGAATTTTTGGGTAAAAGTAAAATTAAAATAAATATGAAAATTAAATTCATAAAAAAATAAATAAAATTTGTTAGCTTTATTTTTTCAAAGAATAAAAATTTAAAAGTAAAAGTAAAAGCAAGAAAATTTCAAAATAAATAAAATACTGAACAATACGAAAAAAAAAATCTAGACGATCTTAAATTTCTCATTTCATAATTTTATTTCTGTTCTTATTGTATTGATTTCTTGTTCCTGTAATTTTTTTTTTATGTAAAAAGGATAAAATAAATTATTTTTGGAGTATTTGTGTATGCACGATGTACTTAAACGCTCCTCCACAAATACAATAGAAGTATTATTGTGGGGTTAAGTCTTTCTCGTGCATAATTAGATTCATGAAATTGATTCTTTGAGATGTAAAAAATAAATAAAATAAAAATTCAATAACTTTATTCTGTTTAGTTTTGTTTAACATTCTTTTAAAATAAATAAAGTTAGTAGCTACTCAATTATTATTATTATTATTATTATTATTATTATTATTATTATTATTATTATGACATAATCACTTTATTCAATCATCAGTAATTGTTTTTTATTACTAATGAAGGTCAATCCCGATAATGAACATTAACAATTTCTTTCTCCCTTATTTACGTCCAAGTTTGTGAAGTTTTATATGTTCTCCCTTAGAAGAGCTGACGAAGAATATGTAAAATTAATTTTAAATTCTCGTAATTTTTAAACTTATTTTACTAGAATTTTTAAGTGTAATTTATCAAAATAATTGTTTTAGTTTATTTTAAAAAATTAATATTAAATTTATATCCTGAAATTTTATATAACAAAAATTTATTCGATAAATATTTAATTAATCTTTTTATCCAAATGCATTATAAATAACAAATAATTTGAAATTGAAACAGTAATTAAATATTTTGATTTCTTTGTTAGACAACTTTTTAATTTATTTGTTATTGATCATGTTAAAGGAGACTTTAACTAGAGAGAGACCCACTTATTATTTCTACAAGTAGAAATATATATAAATATAAATATTTTTCGAAAACTTTCTTTCTAGTTAAATCCATCCTTTTAGTTATAATATTAATACTTTTAAGTTTCATAAAGGCTACTTTAACACTACTAATGGATTAATCCTATTTGTCTTTTACATGGTACATATAATATTTTCTCTCTTCTATCTTTCTTTTTCAGTCTTTTATGTAATGGTTATTTATAAAAGTTGATGTCTAAATAGCATTGTTGTTTGTAAAACCTCTTAAGTTTTAGTCTCCTAAAACATTGTGTTTGTCTCAACGTCTCCTTTAAAGAAGAAGAAAAGCTTTGAAGAAATCTGGGCCATACGTTATCTAATAATGTGCAATTCTTAACCAATATTTTATGATTCAGTTCCACGTTTAGAAATGAAAATGTACTTAACACGAGAAAGTAGAAGAGTAGCTTCCTTGACTTTTTTTTTTTAGGTAAATTATATTTTCCTTCTTCACAATATGTTCGAATTTCCCTTGCTCTAAAAAATATTACATTCTTCCATTTTAAGCGATTAACTGTTCTACACTTTAGCATTGAATGCATATTACATCATTTTTTATTTTGTATAAAAATGAGTAAATTTTTAATATGCATTGAATGCATATAAGCTAATTAGTATCTCATGTAACACTCATATGTTTCATTGTCAAATAAACACGTATACAATTAAATAATTAAAGATAAAAAATTCTATTTCTATTTGTAGTTTTTTAAAGTTAAAATAATTTTTTAAAATATAAACGTACGTGCACCATACAAAATATAAATAATGAATAAATATATGATCTAATACAAGAGAAGTTATGAGTTGATGAATAAGAAAATACATACTAAATTTTTTCACTTGATGAGGACTATGATTTTTAATTGAAAAACATATATTATGATAATTTTCTACTTTCGCAATGCCTATTTATTAAGCTCATCAATGCATGAGAAATAAAAAAAACTGCATAAAATTAAAATTTAATTTTTCCCAAGTCTATTAGTGAAAATGAAATTGCCTTAGTGCTCGTTTGCTTTTTCATTTTCTACAGTTAAAGTAAATTATAAAACAAAGTTGATCTATTTCGAATGCAGGCTTAAAGATTAAAATAATACAATTTTAAAAAATAATTATCAAAATAATGTAAAAAAGAAAATAATTCTCTGTCTGGGGCGTTTTTAGGCCACGTCAGCTATAGTTTCGTATAAAAGTCAGACAAAATGATTTTTGATTATTTTTTATTTGATCATTTCGTATTAAAGATGGACGAAATACGGGGAGCAGAACACGTGACAGTGGTTTCGTATAAGGATGAGACGAAAAGGGTTAAATATTTTGAAATAAAGTTTCTCACCAGAGGACACGTGGCCCAATCAAAGTGTTTCGTATCTGCGTCAAACGAAAGTATCTTTTCGTCTGATGCAGAGACGAAACACGTTGATTGGGCCACGTGTCCTCTGGCAAGAGGTCACCAACGCTCCTCCTTCATTTCTCTTCTTCCGTCCCGCAAACCGCCATTAACAACGATCTAGAGCTTCGGTGAGGTTATTTTTTATCATTTTAGAGTGAGTTTTGAGTGCGATTCGTGATACATTGCACAAAACTGTCCAGATCTATTGGGTTTGGAGTGATTTGTGATGTTGTTGTTTTGAAACTTGAAGAAAGTTGGGAGAACGAAAAATAGGAGGTCATTACCGGAGAGACATTATGGTCCAGTGGAGTTGTTCCCGTCGTTGAGAACCCACCATCGCCGGAAAATGTGTTGTCCGCCCTTGCCGCCGTCCCCCACCCCCTCCCCATCCATCCAGGTTTTTCAATTTCTGAAAAAAATTTAAATTTTATATTTATTAATAATAGTAAAAGGTTGAATAAATTTTTTTACAGTAATATTAGATTAAAAATTAGCGTAATATTAGATTAAAAATTTGTAGAAATATCAACATAATCAGAATTTGTATAATTAAATTTTGATAGTAATATTAAGAAAAAAATTAGAGTTTACATTTAGAATAAATAGAATTTGAAGTAAAAATTTTAAAAATTGTAAAAAATAATTAAAATTCAAATAATAAATAGTTAAATAAAATTGAAAATAGAAAAATATAAAATAGTTCTATGGTTGATTAATTATATAAGAAATAATAAATAGAAAAAGTGTAACAAAATTATAACATAAATTATATTTTTTAGATTAAATGACATTTAAGAATATAAATTAAAAGATTGATTTATGATTAATGAACAGATAATTACAAAAATGTTAAGAAGGTCAAAATTGAGAGCATTAAAATTAAACATATACATTTATATAAAAAGATTATAGTAGCAAAAATTTGAATTAATTAAATAATAAAAAATATATATTTATTTATGGTTAATTATGGTTTAAATTATTGGAGTGATATTAAATAATTTAAAATAAATAATTAGAATTATATAAGTTTATTTATGATAAAATAATAAGTGTATATATTGAATTTAAATTTTAGAGTGATACTAATAAGATGGAGATTAAGTTATTAATCATTAAAAACTATAATCTTGGTAGAAAAAAGAAATTTAGTAATGTAATTGAAGTTATTAGAGTGATATTAAATAATATAGAAAAAATAATTATAATAATAATTATGTAATATTATTTATGATTAAATTATAAATTTATTTTGTATAATTTATATTAAAGTTTAAAATTTTGACAATGTTATATTTTATATTTTGTGAAGATGGCTTCATCTTCAGGACAGAATAGGGTCATTCATCCTGGACCAGATGATCCTTCATTATTGCATTTACAGAATATTTATGTGTCTGAACATATTTGGGATGGTCGAGATCATCCTATTTTGAAGGTTAGGAAGAGTCAATTTATTCCAGCTGGTTTGGATGGTGTTCCAGAGGAGATCCTTCCACATTTAGAGCTTGCGGGATTTACTGGGATTGCTCACGTATGTCAGTTTCCATTAAACCTCCCGTTGATCACTGTATTAGTAGAGAGATGGAGGCCAGAGACACATACTTTTCACTTGCCTTCAGGCGAGTGTACGATCCTTTGCAGGATATATCTGTGTTGTTAGGCTTACGGATTGATGGAAGACCTGTGATAGCACCTATTGGAGGTAATTATGCTGATATTGTTGAGGAGAGCCTAAGGATTAGACCATCACGTGCAGATTTTGTTGGTAGCTTCTTGAAGACGAGTTGGCTAGACCAACATTTTACCCATGTGGCGATGCATGCACAAAATCCTTTACAGATCACCCAATTTGCTAGGGCTTATATGTTGCGGTTGATTGGGAGTTTTATGTTGAGTGATCACTCCAGCAGTAGAGTCTCAATAAGGTACTTACCTTTACTTTAGGATTTTGCTGTCACTGGTGAATATAGTTGGGGGTCTGCAGTATTGGGATTTTTGTATAGAGAGCTGTGTATGGCCACCAATATTGATCAGCATGGTTTAGGTGGATTAGCTGCATTACTTGTGATATGGGCATGGGATAGATTTCCATTTGTAGCTCCTGGAAACCCGCTTCACACACGACTCCATCTTCCATATGCTACCAGGTAATATTAAATATTGATGTCCTTAATATGTTTAACATACCTTTTGTATAAACAATATCTGTATCTTTTTGTAGGTGGTTAGCCAATCAAAGGAATCGGAAAGGGAGGAAAGACATATCTTATTATAGATATAAATTTGACATGCTTAGTGGTGAAGAGGTAAACCTTGATTAACACCCACGCCATATGTTATAGTCATATTTTAATTTAGTTATCATTATGAAAACAAATCTAAATATGTGTATTTGTGTGCAGATAATTTGGCAACCATATTCTATTGATTTGATTAATTCGTTACCAGCTATATGTCGTGAGGGGATGGAGTTGTAGAGGGCTGTCGTGCCTCTGATATGTTTTCAAGTGTGTGAGTGGCACTAACCAGATCAAGTAATGCGGTAATTTGGTATGGTTCAACATATACCTCGTGCCCCATATCAGCCAGATGCACTACATGACTTGACTCTGCGTGGGAAGGCAACAGAGAATTGGCAAGAGAAGTTGAGGGATGTATTAGACATTTGAGACAGAAGGAGAGATTGGGTCATGACCAATGATCTCCAGATTGGTTAGCTAAGTTTCAACTCAGAGTATATGCAGTGGTATAGAGCTCACACTAGACGTTGGATGACAAGAGACGCAGCTGTCTCATCATTACTTGTAAGTGTAAACTATTTAAGACATTTACTTATGTGTATTTGTAATGATATTGTTAACATACAATTTTTTTTGTTTTATAGGACGATGGACTTGAGAGAGCCCACTACTTGATGACTGATGGCCATGATTCTTTCACCTTTGATGAGATGTGAGACCTGTGTCAATCTATGCTAGTTTTGAAGAATGATATTTCTTCATCTGAGCCTCCAATACAGAGCGGCAATACTGAGGATCCAGTTGTAGATATTCGTCAACCGAGGGACCGTAAGGAAGGCAGGGGATTACAGCGTAGACGCACAGAGGTACATGCGACAGACTAGTCTCTTCCACCTATACCTGAGCGTCCTGATGGAGTATTCTATGTTCCTTCATAGTTTCCTTTCCACACATAGCCTGTTAGTGCACCTACATATTTTCACTCATCTCAGGCCACCCAGCATTCGCCACAGACTCCTCAATCACCATTCCTGACCACAGAGTGTTATATCCCATGTCCATCACCATTCTTGATGCCGCCTCCATATGATGTACCTATTCTAACACCACCAGCACCAGCACCAGATGCAGTTATTGGGACAGCATATGATACCTCTTATAGTCATGGAATAGATTTGAATGTTGACTTCGAAGCAACCGTAGATGTTCCACCTGTAGAGGTTCGTCGTAACCCACATCGTGGAGCCAGAGATCGGCCTAGGGAGTTCATATTGACCCCACATCAGCCCGACCAGTCGCACGATGATAGAGCTTGAGTTTTTGTATAAACTAATTATACATATTTTGTGTACCTTTACTAGATGTTTTATGACATATGGTAGTTTGTTTCATATTAATCATCGTTCCATGAACATTTACTTATGTTATTCATCGTACGATTTACATTTACTTATGTGATTCATGTTTCTTATAAAGAGAAATAAGGTGATAGAGTCTACAAGTATATAAATGCTAAGGATATAAACTACAAACCCACATATTGATAGTTAACAAATGACTAGCTGTCTCATACATAAATTCCTCAATACTACTGATTAGGTGATATAGAAGTACATTGTGACCAATTTGATGACAATTACTACATCAGGTTCTACTTTGTGACTCAACCAAATCCATTTCATTCCTAATGCGAAATGATTTTGGTCTTCCTTTACCTCTGATTCTTGTCTCATCAGGCACTAACTTCCACTCATTGCGTGTAAGAATATTACCATCATTTCCCAAGGGAAACCATTGTGATGAATATGCATGAACGACATTTTGCACAGAGTAAACATCATCACATATTGCCAAAAGTCAATACTTACCGATGCACAAGCAGCAATCACATGTGAGCATGGAAATCGATATGCCTGAAATTTCCCACATTCACAGTATCTTCTACACAGAACAACAGTCCATTTATTAACACCCCTTTGCGTGATAGGATTAAAGGCCTCTTCAACCTCGAATGTTGTTATTGCTATATCATATCGTCTCACTTGATGCGAAGATGCTTCCTTTTGATTTTTCTGCATTTTTAGCATTAGTTTTGAACAATACCGCTTACCATAGTTCAAGTCATTCATTGCGTCCTCTCCACGCTTCACAAAATATTCAACCATTCATCCGTAAGTGTATTTGACAAGAGCAGTTATAGGTAAGTTTCTTGCTCCCTTCAATACCTTGTTAACAGCCTCTGACAAATTTGTGGTCATATGTCCATAATGGCGTCCATCGACGTCATGACTCAAAGCTCACTTTTTCTTCGATATGTTGTCGATCCACCTCTGTATTTCTGGTGATCCAGTGCAGAATCTTCTCAACTTCTCTTCAAATACAAGCTTTGAAGGTATATATGCTGCAATGTACAAGCTCTACATGACTTCACAATTCAAATACATATAAAGTAACAGGAAACCAAATATGAATTAAATCATGTTACCTAATTTTATCAGTTGTTTTTTCAATTCAATGTTCTTGAATCTATGGTTGAAATTGATTGCAATATGCCGAATGCAATAAACATAGTATGCATTAGGAGGTTGCCATCCAATATATGGATTTGAAACAACACTTTTGATGCTTTGATGCCTATCAGATATTAAACATATTCTTGTCTTGGTTGTTACGTGGACACGAATCATTGCCAAAAACCATTCCCATGCTGATAGAGTCTCCCCTTCAACAATGGCAAATGCAAGTGGTAGGACACAATTATTCCCATCTTGTGTTGTTGCAATTAACAATGTGTGACGATACTTACCATACAAGAATGTTCCATCTACTTGAACAATAGGTTTGCAAAAGTTGAATGCTTCCTTACATTGATGAAAACACCAAAACAATCGCTCAAATACTCTATATCTGTTGTCCTCTTGATGTCCAACAACAAATGGTTTCGTTTCAATCTTATAAATAGAACCTGGAGCATGAAATTGCATGTACTCTAACCATCTTGGCAATATAGCATATGATTCATCCCAGTCACCAAATATTCTTACAATCGCCTTTTGTTTTGCCTTCCAAGCTTTTTTGTATGAAATTTTATATCCAAATTAAGTTGTCATCCTTTCTTGAATTAGACTTATAGGCAATGATGGTTCAAGATTAACCATACCTACACAAAACAAAAATAAAAATTGGTAAGTATCTTTATAGAGAAAATACATCACGAAATCAGAGATTATTCAAAACTTACCAATTATGCATGAAGAAATCAAATCTGAATCTAGTTTGGTATGGTCTTGAGATATTGTAGGGTTGAGACATGTATGCTTACCCCCACACCTTGTTATTTTCCACTTCACTGAAATTTTTAGCAATGATGCTCTTATTCTCCATGGGCAACCATTGTTATGGTTTAAACACCTCACATGCAACTTTGTTGGTTTTGACTCAACAACAAAATAATTCTGATGTATTCTCATTGCATGTTGTTTTAAGGCATTTTTAACTTCATCTTTTGAGTTAAATAACAAACCCACATGTAACGAATCTCCAATAACCCATGAATTATTTTTACTAATTTCTTCTGCTTCAATTTCTTAGTTTGGGTGGTCCCAATTAATAGATTTGTAGTGTGGACTTACATTCCAAAAAGGTATTTCACCTACAGCTACATTTAAACATACAATATTCATCATTAAAATAAAATAAACAATTTAATTAATTTACTTTTTAAATCTTACCTCTAACATTTTCTTGTTGTAAATTTAAGTTTGAATCAAAATCACCATCAATGTCCGTATCTGACGAGCTGTCTAAAGGAATATGTCCTTCATCAATATCATCTATCTCATCATCACTATTGACTTCATCATCTTCATCTTCATAACTGCATAAATCTCCACATCCTTCAAAATACAAAGACTTATTCAATATATGTTGTCACTAAAAAAAATTTAAAAAAATATTATAACAATATAATTTATACCTTCTGTAACATTTATATTGACCATTTCCATAAGGTTAGGCGGTGACATTGATAAGCTTAAGTCCAACATATTCGACTCACCTCTTGAACTTTCACCAAATGCAATATCCACATATAATTCAATAAACCTTGTAATACTTTGTTGTTGATATGCACTAATCATACAATCAATATCTTCATCATCACATATATCCAATGCATTGTATTGTTTAGCGCTTGAATCAACCATAAAACGAGAAATTATTCTAAATATGACGTAATTATTACTAAGATTCAACTTGTCATGAATCTTTTTCTTTAAATTCATATAACTTATCCTTCTTCTTATCTTTATCATTTTTTTGTTACCTTCAAATGTCACACATTCGTTTCCAACAACAATTTTTCCATTCTAATATACAATAATAATAATATCATTCATCCTGCATTTATAAAAAAAAACATATCAATAATTATTTACAATTATACTTATTTATATAAATAATTTATTTATAACACACAAACATATTATTATTTTTTACATCATTTTTATATTATAAAAAATGTTATATCTTTACTACATATTCAACTTATATATAATAAAATATTCGTAATAAATATAACATTATTTTTTTAATTAAACAAATTTATATTAAATATCTACTAAACTTTTATATTTTTTTTTATAATTATCTAAAATATTAAATTTTAATTTTAATATACACAAAAATATTTTTATTAAATATTCATAAATTTTAACTATTTCTATTTATAATTATTAAAAAATTTTAATAACTAAAATATTAAAAAAAGTTTTGAAATTTACTAACCTAAAAAATTTGCTTCAAACTGCAGGAATCGCTTTCAAATAAGATATCCCTTTCAATTTCACGACCCACCTTTCTTTCACGCTGATTTTGATCAGATTTCAAACATTATATATACAAAATTTTCGCTAGATAAAAGGGTGGAGCAAAAATGGAAGGAGACTTTCGTCTGGGAAGTAGGCGAAATGATAACTTTTTGTCCTGATAGAGTCAAAATGAGTCTCTTTTTTGTCTTATTTGTGGACGAATTTATAAGATTCAAACACATGTTCAAATCTTATACTTTCGTCCTGGATTGAGACGAATTTGTAGTATTAAGACACCTGTCCTTTGTTTCGCCTTTGATAGATACGAATTGAGTGACAGATGTTACCATATAACGTATTTCGTCCCTCTTTTAGATGAAATGATAGAATTTAAAATAAAAAAAAATATTTTTATCTGATTGGTATACA